TAAAAAAAAGTACCAAGAAAATTAATTTAAAACTAAATAAATAAAATACACATTAAGGGCTAAGGTTGTATGTATCTCAGTGGTAAAGTGCTTGCCTGGCATACAAGGTTACATACTCAGCACTGCAGAGAAAAATGCATTAATATACAACTGAACAATATAATGAATGTTTAAATTTTTAAAAATTATTACAGTAAAAAACACACTGCTATTAATCCCCCTCAAAATACTCCCCCTTGCTTCAAACGTACTTCTCCCATTGTTCTTGCCACTTTCTGAAGCAGTTCTGGAAGTTCTCTTTCATGTCTTTAGAAAGTGTGAACAAAAATACGGTGAACGCTGTCACCAAATGAAATGAAGTGTTACCCAACAAAAAGGAAGGTTTGTGAAAACATTACAGTGTGTCCTCATCCATCTTACTCATCAGATCTAACACCGTGCAATTTCTGGTTCTTCCCCAAAGTCAAAATTATCATAAAAGGTAAATATTTCAAATTGATTCAGGACATTGATCCAGTTGTGCAGCCAGGACAGCACAACTAAAGACACTCACAAAAGAGGACTTCCCGAACTGCTTCAGACAGTAGAAAATAAAAATGGGATTCACATGTTTGAAGTGAAGGGAAGTATTTTGAGGGTGATTGATGGCAATGTAATTAATTTGCTGTAATCATTTTTTATTTAAACACACTGTATATTTCAAAGGAACTTACCTTCTGGAGAATTCCATGTTAGCAAGGGAGGTAGAATACATCTGATGCAAGCATCTAAGATATATCTTACTTCGGGAATCCTTCTTGTTCATTTTACAAATAATCTTGTTCTGTAAGACATTTTATTTTACGTTTTTTATGTTCATGTTTCAGCTTGCAGCTAGAATTTGAAATTGTCAAGGATGAGGACATACACCTCTTCAAATGTCCAACATGCAAATCAACATGTTGCACACAGAAGCTGTGTTCTGTAATGTTTTTTGTGGTGGGTCAATGTAGTCACAGCTGTTCTCTATGGTTTGCATCCGGAACACTTACAATGTGTGTTAAAATTTTCTAAGTATGCTATCCACATAGACTTCTCTGCTTTGATTTCCAATAGAAATCAGTGAACAAGATAATGCCAATGTCCGTGGAGAACGCGTGAGCTTGGAAAAGCAGCCTAAGACTGAAAAACACATGGAGATTACATTAACGTAACGCAGTTCAAGGAGTATAAGTACAGTACCTGGGATGATAGTTTTAAACTTCGAATACATTGAAATAAATTACATCATTTTTAAGAAAATGAAGTTTATTTTGTTTTGCAGTGTTGTCAATCAAACCTAGGGCCTCTGGCATGCTAAGCATGCACTCTACCACTGAGCTACATTTCCAGCACAGAAATTACCTTTTAAGAAACTATAGAAATATCCGGAAATCTATAGTAAAAGCCAACTGACTCCAAGGTGATAGACTGCTAGGTGAGAGAGAACAAGTGAAAATGAGCCAAGAAACAACTTTGTCCTGGACTCTCTGCCAAGCTCCATTGGTATTATAGTGGTAAAGAATCATTGGGGCTTCTTTCTCTCCTTCCTCTCCACTAATGAGTCTTCTGAATTTTTCTTTGAACTCCAACCCCTTGGCTTTCTGTAGAGCTCCCAGGTGGGAGCTGGGCATGGTGGCACATGCCTAAAATCCCAGCACTCTGAGAGGCTGTGGCAGGAAGCTCACAAGTTCAAACCCAGCAACTTAGTGACTTAGTAAGATCACGTCTTAACATAAAATTTTAAACAGGATTGGGGATTTAATTCAGTGTGAAGGCCCTGTATTCAATCCTTAGTACCATGAACACACATAAATAAAACACAAAAACAAACCAAATAAAAGAGAGAGAGTAGGTGCCTAAAGACATGGCTCCAGGATTGTCCAGTTGTCAAGCCCTAAACACTCACCTCCCCCTGTCCTCCGGGTAGTTTTCCTGCAGTCTCTCGCTGTTGGCACCTCTCCCTCCACTCCATAAGTTGAGAAAGAAAGTCCTTGGGGAAAAAAAGGAGACAGATGTTTTTACAAGCATTTTACAATGCTTATATTTATACTGTCATCCAAGTTACGTTGCTCCTATTTCTCACTACGTAAAAAATGGAAAACTTAGTTTATCATTTGGTATCTGAATGCAGGGAACAAAATCCTACTATAAACTAAGGCAGATGCAACCCTGTGGCTAAGATCCCAAATGTCAGTGACAATCTCATTCCTGATTTTAAGATATGGACAGGCTGTGCTTCCTTGTTTAGGCTTTCAGGTTTGACAGGCCCGGGACTATTTTTTGTATATTGGAGCAGAACGTCAAATCATGCAGAACACCTGCTCTAGTGAGTGAGTGGACCTGGATTTCCTGATTGAGCATGTACCAAATGCATCAGACACATAGCAATATCACCACCTTCCTCCTCACACGTGACTGTTACTCTTGTTGCTGGCTTTACAAGTTTTGGGGATCTCAGGTCTCAACCTTCCTTTAAACTTGTCTGTATTTTTTTCCATGAACCACCTCTGAGGAAAATAAAGAGACATTTCAGTGTGCTGTTTAAGTTGCCCTTATTTGCTTCTGCACATAGTGGAATCAAATGCATATTAACTGATAAAGCTAAACATTTACTCCTTTAAGCTCCCTATGAGATCCTTACAAGAATGCTGGCCACCTGGCCTGGCCCCATCCCACCTCTGTGACCCCCTGTGACAGCTCTGCCCTGGCCACTGGCTGCCGCAGCCTGTTCTTGTTCCCTGAGTACTCAGGCCCACTCCCGCCTGCAGCCTTCTCCCCGGCTGTTCACATGAGGGCTCTGCCATCTGACATCTTCCTGCCCAATACCACCTCTCCACTGAGCCATGTCCCAGACTTCAGTCTCCCCATGAGAACAGGTGAACAAGACAGAGTGGGCCATGTAGCCATGGAAACAAGGGTGCTCTGAGTGAGAAATGAGTAACAGAGGAGACTGGAGCACATGGACTTGGTGGGGGTGTACCCATACCCTAAAACACACAGCTAGGATAGCCAATGGCTGTGAGTAGGGGAGGGCTGGATGAGGGGGTGAAGGGAAGCTGAGTGTGACAGAGACAGGAGATGCCACCTGTTCACTAGGCACCCTTGACCTTATTTAAGTTCCCCAAATGGCACATGTCACTGCCAAGTACTCTGAATGCATCAGGAGCTTCATCCAAACGTGAAAAAATTTCTGAGCCTTTAGTCCTAAGTATATTGGAGCATACTTATTATTCCTTACGATGGTGTGGTAAATCACAGTGCAAATGGAAAGTAAATCTCATGATAAATAATTTAGTGACATTAAAGGTGTACCGATCTATTAAAGTAAAAAAGCGCTTAAACATGACAAATTGTAGCTTTTTTTCAAATCATTACCATAATGAACCAGAATAAAACTGAATTCCAAACAAATTTTGGAACTAAACTATGTCAAAAATATGTACATATACAAAGGAGAAATCGATTTTGAGTAATAAATAAGAAGCAAATAAAAGAACATAAAATTTAACAAAGATCAGTATTTCATGATAATAACCACCAGGGAGAGTAATTTTTGAAGACTGATAAGACACAGCTTCACTGAGATTTTGAGGATTTTTACTAAGAACAGTCAGCAGAACAAAGCTGACAGAGGAAAGAAAGACTGAAAGTTTCAAATATAGACAGGAAGTAGAGGAACTTCAACCCCAAATGAAGAGATGACAGCAGAATTCCAAAGTTCACTACAAACATCATCCCCAGCAAACATCTCTTCACGGTAGCAAATCATTTACATGAAGAATCAGGGAGGCTATGAGGAAAAAGAAACAATGCAAAACTCCAGGCCATTCTAGCCCAGCACTCTCCGGCCTCCTCACCTGCCAGCTCATCACTCAGCTCTGTAGGGAGAAAAAGATTTTCTCACCCAGCTCAAGGCTGAGGGGCTATAAGACAGATGAATGAGAATACAAATTGATGTAATATAAGTTTTATGTGACACAAAGACTTAAAGATGAAGTCCCAAACAAGCAGGTGAGCCTGTGTCCCTATGCTAGGAAGAGGCAGATGCCAGTGGGCGAGTCCCATAGACAAAGGGTGTGGCCAGATAGTAATGAGCTAGAGAACATTGCAAGGCCTCTAGCTCAGCCTCTTCCCTGTGTCCCTGTGTCAGAGATAAGGATGTTCCTTTCCCCTAGGTGGAGAGAGGAGACACCTCTGGGAGGAGGGCCTATGACCTGCTTGAGGATACACAGGCAACAGGAAGGTAAGGGGGACCTTCTTGCTTCTGCTGTTTCCTCCAAGGCTAAGGGGCCATATTTGGGGGGGATGTCCTGTGCCCCCTTGGTTGACATCACCTGTGGGAAGGCTAGATCCTCTCTGTAATTGTGGGGTCAGCATGGCTGAGGTCTCCCTCAGCATCTGCACTATACTGTACAAGATTCCAGTCCTAGGGTCACAGTGACAAAGTACCATACAAGGAAGGCTCACACCATAGAGACCGATCTTCCCATAGTTCTGCAGGCCAGAAGTCTGAAGTCATGGTGGGGGAAGGGTCACATTTCTCCAAAGCATGTCTATCTCTTGTCCTTGGCAGTTGAGGACAGTTCTTGGCCAACCTTGATTTGTGGACCATCAGCCTAGTCTCCACCTTCACCAGCTTATAGATATGTTCTCCCTGGGGGTCGCCTCATCTTATAAGAACACCAGACATACAGGATATAAAGCTCCTCCTACTCCAGTATGCCCTCATCTTAATTTATGACTTCATTACATTTGCAAAAACCCTTTTTCCAATAAAGGTCACGTGAACAAACACCAGAAGTTAGGACTTGAACGAATCTTTTGGCAGACAAAAGTAAACCTACAGGGCCGGGGATTTAGCTCCGAGTTCGATCCCCGGTACAAAAAAAAAAAAAAGTAAACCTACAGCAAACACTCTAACAAAACACTCATGCAAAGTTAAATGTTCTTGTATTAACTTCCTTACCCCAGGACTCAGATGCAGCTCCTGGGAGCCAGGTTAAGGCCAGTCTGACTGTATGGTGGGATGGATCTTTCCCCTTCCAAATTATTCCAGTGTTCTGGAACCACTTTCATGATTTGCCTAATCTTGGGTTGATAATTTTTGTCAGAAAGCTCTGGCCTGTCCACTCCCAGCAGGTCATGTCCTTCTGGTCCTCCAGACAAAACAAACTCAAATGGGCCAGTTCTAGAGTGAGCCCAACTGGGGCTCCAAGGGACCCTTCCTTGCATTCACAGTGGAATTTCCATGTTCTGCCTACAGAGGAAGGTGACTCAGCCAGCATCTTGGGACCCAGCTAGCCTCAAGAGCAAAATTTCTTTAAAGTCATGTGTTCTATTAAAATCACTGCTGATTTTCCTAGTGTTCTTTGAAGTGTTTGATTCCATTTTGTGGTGAGGTCTTTATCCATATCTTCAGTGCCTTTGATGCCCTGAAGCCTATATCATCCCTTTCATGGGTCTTATTTCCCATAAGACCAGGGTGCTTTCCCCCCTTGGGAAAGAAGGGGCCTTTCTGTGAGCTCTAAGGTACAGTGCTGCATTTGACCTTCTCAGCTCCCTTAAGATACAGTAAGAAATATGAATAAATAATCTAATTAAAAATGAGCTAAGGAACTGAACAGATGTTTCTCAAAACATAGACAGATCACCAACAAGTATATGAGAGGTGCTGAACATCACCACCATCAGGGAAATGCAAATCAAAACCACAATGAGATGTCACTTCATACCTGTTAGAATGACAATGATCAAAAAGACCAAAGAGATCATGTTAGTGAAGACCTAGAGAAAAGGAAACCATTACACACCATTTGGAATGTAAATTTACAGCTGTAAAATGGAAATGGAAAACATTACAGACCCCCTAAAAAATTAAAAAATATAATTACTGTATGATCTAGCAATCCCACTCCTGGGAAAACCTGGAGGAAATGAAATCCAGGTCTCAAAGAGATATCTGCTCCACCCACCAACACTGGGTTCACTACACTATCAATCACAATAGACAAGATATGGAAACAACTAAATTGTCAATGAATAACTAGATAAAGAAAATGAAGATTATACGTAACATAAATACACTCACACTGGAATGTTATTTGGCTTTAAGAAAGAAGGAAATCCTGTCCTTTGTGACAATATGGATAAGCCTAAAGGACACTATGTAAATGAAATAAACCAGACACAGAAGAACAAATGCTGTATAATCTCACTTTTATGTGGAGTCTAAAAAACTAAAATTCTTAAGAGCAGAAAGTAAGGAGAAGGCAGTTGTCAGGGTCTAGGGGGTGGGGAAATAGAGGGATGTTGGTCAAACAGTACAGAGGTTCAGATAGGCAGGATGAGAAGTTCTGGAGAATGAATTCAGCATGGTTACTGTAGTTAATATTGTGTTATATGCTTGAAATTCACTAAGGAAGTTAACCTTGTCTATTCTCACTGTAAGTATGTGAGGTGATGAGTATGTTCATTAGCTTAATTGTGGAAATCATTTCACAAAGTGCACATATATCAAACCATCATGTTGTATACCATATATATATATATATATATATATATAAAATGCAATTTTTGTTAAGTTATAGTCAATAAATCTGGAAAAATAAAATGATAGCGAATACTGCAACATCACACTTATAATTTGGCAACTTAGAAAAAATGGCCTATTCCTTAAAACCCATAAACTTGGGCTGGGGATTTAGCTCAGTGGTCTCGGCACCTGCATCACAAGCACAAGGTCCTGAGTTCGATCCCCGGTACCAAAAAAACCCCCAAAAAACCCATAAACTATCAAATCTTGTCCAAGATTGGGAAAATAACCTTGACAGTCTGTTATTGTTGTTGTTTTGAGATGGAGTCTGGCTATGTAGCCCAGGCCGGCCTCAAACTCATGGCAGTCCTGACTCAGCGCCCCAAATGCTGGGATTACAGGCATGCACTACACACCTGGCTCCCTTGGTAGTCTTATAATTAATTATTAAAGAAATT